TCCATATGTCCTGTATTAAACCAGATATTAAAGAGATTTGTAAAAATATGTAAAATAACTGCCATCCTCTTACTAATTTAGGGAGGTGAAAACAGTCTTCAGTAAAAAAATTTTATGTTCAAATAGAAATTAAAAAATTTTATGTTCAAATAGAAAGCTTTTGGGGCACCTGAGTGGCTTAGTTGGTTGAGCCTCCAACTCTTGATTTCAGCTCAGGTCATGATCCCAGACCCATGCAATTGAGCCCCACATCAGGCTGAAGAGTCTCTCTCTCTCTACCTCTGCCCCTCTCCCCACTCGTGCTCTCTCTCTAAAAAAACAAAAATTTAAAAAAATTTTAAATACAAAATAAATTTTAAAAAGACAAAATAGAAAGCTTTTGCACAGCATAGGGAACCATCAACCAAAGAAAAAGGCAACCTACAGGGTGTGTGGGTAACTCAGTCAGTTGAGCACCTGACTCTTGATTTTGGCTCAAGTCAACATCACATGGTCATGAGATGGAGTCTGTGTAGGGCTCCACACTGAGCACAGAGACTGCTTGGGATTCTCTTTCTCCCTCTCTGCCCCTCCCCTACACACACTCTGTGTGTGTGTGTGTGTGTGTGTGTGTGTGTGTGTGTGTGTTCTCTTTCTCTCTCAAAATAAATAAATAAACAAAAGGCAACCTAGTGAATGGGAGAGGATACTTGCAAATGATATATCTGAGAAGAGGTTAATATCTAATATATATATGAATATATAATATATATTAAACAACTCAACACCAAAAATATACGATCTAATTTAAAAATGGGCAGAGGACCTAAGTAGATTATTTTTTTCAAAGACATACATATGGCCAACAGGCAGATGAAGAGATGCTCAACATTATTAATCACTAGGGAAATTCAAATCAAAATCACAATGAGATATCACTTCACATCAGTCAGGATGGCTACTATCAAAATGATAAGAAATCACAAGTGTTAGCAAGGATGTGGAGAAAAGGGGACTTTGTGTACATACTATTGGTAGGAATGTAAATTGGTGCAAATACTCTGGAAAACAGTATGGAGTTTCCTGAAAAAATTAAAAATAGACAAACTATATGATCCAGTAATTCCACTACCGGATAACTACCCAAAGAAAGTGAAGAAGATACTATTTCAAAAAGATATATGCACCCCTATGTTTATTGGAGCATTATTTACAACAGCCAAGATATGGAAGCAACCTAAGTGTCCATCAACAGATGAATAAAGAAAATGTGATATATATACATATATATACGTATATATGAATATTACTCAGCCATAAAAAAGAATGAGACCTTGGGGTATATGGGTGGTTCAGTCAGTTAACATCTGACTCTAGATTTTGGCTCAGGTCATGATCCCGGGATCATGGGACCAAGCCCCGCATCAGGCTCTGCACTGACACATGGAGCCTACTTGGGATTCTCTCTTTTCTTTTCTGCCCCTCTCCCCAAGGCACACGTGCACACACGTGCTCTCAATTTCTCACAAAACAAATTAATAACATTTTTTAAAAAGTATGAGATCTTGCCATTTGCAACAACATGGATGGACCTAGATACAGGGAATGATACTAAGTGAAATAAGTGAGAGGGAGACAAATACCATTTGACTTCACATATATGTAGAATCCAAAAAACAAATGAACAAACAAAAAACAAACAACAAACAGACTCTTAAATACAGAGAACAAACCGGTGGTTGCCAGAGGGAAGGTGGAAGGGGATACATGAAATAGATAAAGGGATAATATTAACAAATACAATCTTCCAGTTATAAAATAAATGTCATGGAGATGAAAAGTAGAGCATAGGGAATATAGTCAATGATATTTTAATAACATACAGTGACTACAGTTATTGTGATAAGCTTTGAGTTGAGTAATGTATAGAGTTGTTGAAGCAATGTGTTGTACACCTGAAATTAATATTGTACGTTAATTATACTTCAGTAAAATATATTTATGCTAACAGGGTTAATGTATAATGGATTTAGTTGTTATTTTTAATGAATTAGTATTTAAAATTTCTGTTTCCATTTTACTATGTTAAGTATTGACAGATATAATCCACTTCAACAAAAGCTTTTTGGATCTTCAAACCCCATTCTTTTTCTTTTTAATGTTTTTTATTTATTTCTGAGAGAGAGAGAGAGAGTGAGAGAGAGCAAGGGAGGGCCAGAGAGAGAGGGAGACACAGAATCTGAAACAAAACTCCAGGCTCTGAGCTAGCTGTCAGCACAGAGCCTGACACGGGGCTCAAACCCACCAACCATGAGATCATGACCTGAGTCGAAGTCAGATGCTTAACTGACTGAGCCACCCAGGTGCCCCTCAAACCCCATTCTAAATGTTTAAGAATATTAAACGTTAAGGGTTTGGCGGCGCACCTGGGTGGCTCAGTTGGTTAAATGTTTGGCTCTTGATTTCGGCTCAGGTCATGATCTCTCGGTGTTTCGTGAGATCAAGCCCTGTGTCAGGATTCTGTCTTTCTCAAAATAAATAAATAAACTTAAAAAAAAAAAAATAAAGAATGTAAGGGGTTCTAAGGCCAAGTTTTAAAGAAAAAGAGCTTGAGAACTGCTGCACTAGACCAGGAGTTCCTTTAGATCCATACAGCATTAATGGTTTTGTATACACAAAACCTGGTGCATAAAAAATATACCCAGCAAATGTTCCCTAGATGCCAACTCTTCAGCGATGCTATGCTAGCAACTGGGGATTCAGAACTGAGAATGATAGTCCCTGTTCTAGAGGACTCACAAGCCAGTAGAGGGGACACACGGGTAGGTAGGAGAGTGATTACAACGGAACTATGAGGGGAATTATAGAAGCCTACACCAAGAACACACATCTGTTAGGTGGAAGGAATGAGAGGGGCAGTGGCCAGGGAAGGCTTCCCAGAAAAGCTATCATCTGAACTGAGTTTTTAAGGCCACAAAAATCAGCCAACGGAAGAGAATTTTAGAGGGAACAGAATGCATAAAAGGTGGAAGCTTTAAGAAAAAAGTATGGTTGTTTCCAGGTCCTGCATATAGTTCAGTATGAATGCAGCATCAAGTACAAGTCTGTGAACTGGGGGTGAGGTTGGGAATGAAAGGAGATGAGGCACAGAGGTAGGCAAGGGCCAAAATGAAGGGCCTTCCATACCATATTAAGAAATGTGGATTTTCATCCTCAAAGGAGGGCGGGAGTAGGGAGGGGTTTGGGATTTTAGGATCTTATTCTCATCAGCTTTTTAAAAGATCTTTGGTAACAATGTCGAGGTTCAGTTGAATGAATATACCCACTGGGGAACCAGGAGTGAGACCCCAACAGACACAGGCAGGAGGTACTAAAAGCAGCTACCCAAGGCAACCCCAGAGACTTGCAGGAATCTCACTTGCAGGAAGTAGAATCCACAGGAGTAAGTGGATGTGGGAAGTGAGGAACGGGGAGCGCCTGGTAACTCCCTGGGGTTTAGCACTGGCTACTGGGACAGGGGAGGTGTTTCCCTTGAGTCTGGGGAAAACAGGGAGCTGGCTGGAAGGAACACTTCGAAGGTCAGGTTTGTTGCACTCGTAGCAGGCAGGCAGCTAAGCAAATCTAAATACATTTCCGCACCCCCTCCCCCGCGGCCCGGGCCCGGGGCCCACGGTTCCCACGGTTCCCACCCCCACCAGCAAAGCCAGGCCTCCCACCCTTCTGCCCCGGGGGAGCTAGGCGAACCGCTCCCTCCTAATTTCCTCTGCTTGGTCACCCCTTCCCCCTCCTCCGAACCAGCTCTCCGCTTCCTCCCCCACCCCCACCCCCCGAGGAAAAAACGAAAACAAACAGCTCTGCGCCCTGCGCCTCACACCCCAGGACCCCGCTGCTCCCGGAGCAACTTCTAGCGACCTCCGTGGGAGGAAGCATCTCACCCCCGACTCCCGACTCCGGGAGCTCTGTGACTCTTCCCCTCGCCCCCCGCCTTCCCCGTCCCAGCCGGGCCCCGCCTCCCCACGGGGAAACAGCCCAAAAAAGGGCAGAAAAGAAATTTTGGCGTAAAGTTGGCCTGCAAGAGAAGACAGGAGAGTTGGCTGGGAGAAGGGGAGGGGAGGCAGGGCGCTCGGGGCCATTAGTGAGAGGGGAAAGCGGGGTGGGGTGGGGGAAGGGAGGGCGAGAGGAGGGGGCGGGAGGGCCGCGTCCCGGGGATGGGGGGCGGGGAGCACGCCAGGTCCGGCCGGGCTGGAGCCGCAGGGAAAATATGCGGGGCACGTTGGGGGGCAGGGCGGGCGGGGCGCGGAGCCGGGTACCTAGCCGCTCCGCCACCGTAGAGGAGGGGCCCTGGCTCCTGGGGCCGGGGAAGCAAGGGGAAGAGAGGTCAGGCCCGCCCTCGGGAGCAGCAAGCCGGGCCTCGCTCCGCACCGGACCGGGACTCTGGGCTCCCCTCCTGCCTCAGTTTCCCCAAGTCCCTGGTGAGACTCACCGTTGTCACTATCACGTCGGTAACGCAGGCCCAGAGTCTGGGACTCAGGGTAAACTGAGGTACTCGAACCACGGAGGAGCCCCGCCTCCCAAGAGACATTTAATCCAGGGGGATTTACAGGAAACTTCTAAATTAAGGGCAGCGGCTGCTACAGCTGAGGGGGGCACGCGGGTCCCAGCGCCCGCGCAGCTGCCGTGAGCTCACGCCCCGAAATAGCCCCAGGGGCCCCAGTCGCAGCTGCCACTAGGCCGGGCTGTCACTCAGAGGAAGAGCTGAGCCCCCAGCCCGAGGGTCCCCTGCCCTCCAGAGGGCTGGGGTTTTTCCAGCCGACCGTCCTCGCTACTTTGCCTTCCGACGGCTGGGGGTGGGGGTGGGGGAGGGGAGGGGCCTCGAGGGGGGCGGTCCCGAGCGGGTGGGCACAGGGGGCGGCCGCGCCCCCCCACCCCCACCGGGGTGTGCTTCTGCCCCTACAAGGTTTGGGCCGCGGTGGGGGAGGGTCCCGGCCCCCGGCTCCGCCCGGTCCCTCCCCGCCTTTTAGGCGCCCGCGCGGCTGGGACATCCCAGTCCCGCTTGGTCCTCCTCGCCGGCCACCCGTGCGCCCAGTTCGTCCAGTCCGCACTGCCTGCCCACCGGCCCGCCCCCCACCGCAGCCATGGACGCGATCAAGAAGAAGATGCAGATGCTAAAGCTGGACAAGGAGAATGCCATCGACCGCGCCGAGCAAGCCGAGGCCGACAAGAAGCAGGCTGAGGACCGCTGCAAGCAGGTGGGGGCCTTAGACCCAGTGCAGCCTCCTGCTCCCCAACGAGGGAGGCGTAGGCCCTGTGCCGCCTAGCCTGAGGCCCGCTGTCCCAGGCTCTTGTGTCCAGTTGAGGGGTTGGGGGTGGACCTTCACAGTACCCTCAGGGACCTAGCCAGAGCCACACATAATCTCTCACCCACCGTACCTGGGGAGCTGCAATCCCCCAGTTTCCACACCTGCCCCTGCACAGCAATGATGGGCCCAGCTCCTTGGGCTGGTAGCTTTCTCTCTACTCCCACCGGGACCCTCTAACATCCCCGACTGCACTGTTCCTCCTCTGCTATCCTGCTTCCTCCCTGATAGCCTCTAAATATCTTCTAGTACTCCCTCACACACACCCCTGCCTCCTTCCTGGGTCCCTGGCCTGACTAACCAAAGCCCCTCTCTCTCAGCTGGAGGAGGAGCAGCAAGCCCTCCAGAAGAAGCTGAAGGGGACAGAGGATGAGGTGGAAAAGTATTCTGAGTCCGTGAAGGATGCCCAGGAGAAACTGGAGCAGGCTGAGAAGAAGGCCACCGACGTGAGTGTGGATCTAGGGTAGGGGTGGGGGAGTGCACTGGGAGGGGTCTTGGACCTGAAGATGAAAGGGGTAACCTAGACATCCCCAGCACCAGGACAGAAATGGTTTCCTCTCAGAAACCAGGATAGGGCAAGCTTGCACAAATAATCTAAAGCAGTGGGTAAATCAAAACCACCCACCACTTCCCCTAGAGGACACAGCCTTGTAACTCCATTTGGTTCCAGCCCTAAGAATGTACAGTGATCAAGCAGTGAGTCATCGGGGGAGGGGGGGGGGAAGGGACAAGAATTTACCATCTATCTCAATTAATCCTCTAGATGGAAATGAGAGAAGAGGCTGCAACTCCATGTGCGGGATATGGGGTGTGGGTATTGTTGGGTAGGAGGAGGGAGAGGAATCTAGAGATGGGGCCTGACTTGAGTTACACCCCTGGGGGGCCATTAGAAATTCCCTGGCTTTGACCTCTGGCTCCAGCAGCCCTCCTGTGCACTGGGGCCCAGCTCAGGTTCTAATGGCCCCTCATTTACCCTCATTAAGCTGTCAGCCTTGAGACCCAGCCAGGCCACAGGCAGCAGCTCCTGAGATTTCTCTGCTCACCCCCCACCCGCTAACTAGACTTCTCTGCCTTCTGCCATTCCCATGCCCCACCGTGGCATTGGAGAATGGCCCTATGACTTTGAATATGGTACTTGTACCATTCTCTGCCTCAATTTCCCTACTTGCCTTCTACCCAGGATTAAGATGAGCCTATGGTTGTAGGTATGGGAGGATTAGCAAAAGCATGTCTGAACATCTGAGATCCGAGATGACATTACTGTTTATATTGACCATTATCCATGTTCCCCAGCACGCACCCCCCTGCCCCAAGGTTGGTTTCTCTGACCTCTAGGCTTGGTTTTGATTCTCCACCAGCCCTGGCACTTGGGAAGGAACTGACCTGCAGCTGCTAGCAAAGACAACCCTGGGCATCTGACGCTCTATAAATAACTAAGGCCCAGTGCAGCTGGAGGCAGGACTGGAAACCCAAGGAGCTAAGTGGGGGCTGGAGGGGAGGAGGGGAGGACAGGGACAGAGCTGGGGATGCAGTGCCAGGACCCAACTGCCCAAACTTATTGTATGACCTTCAACACAGCACTTCACTTACACAGTGCCTCAGTTTCTCCTTTCTCTCTTCACATTTATCCAGTGGGGTTGGTAGTGCCTGGCCTGTGGTAAGAGAGCAGCATCCGTAACCGGGAAGAGCTTAAGAAGCAGAAAATGGCAAATATCAGTCCTATGATGAGGACCCCAGAACTTCCCAGACTCTTGAGTCATTTGTCACCCCACTGTCACAAAGAGAGTTTTCCTTTTATAGAGTCTCATCTCTCTTTAGAGTAGACCTCTAATGTGCCCCAGAGCCATTCTTCCCAACCCCCAGTGCTGTCCCCAGAATCCTTCCACACTGAGTCATCTGGTCCCCTGCCCATGAAGGCCTTTGTCACTCTAGGTGGCCTCCAGCACCTGGAGGACAAACTACTACTTTCTATATATGGTGCCGGGTACCTCCCAGGACCTGCTTTCTACCCCCTCTGCCCCCAGGGCTGCTACTCATCCCTTCCTTCTTTCACTTCTTCCCCTACACTGGCCCTTTCTCTTTTCTGATCTTCGATCTCATGATCTCTACGATATGTCTCTGACGGAGAGACAGGACCAACCTAACATTTATGGAGCCTGGACTCTGCAGGAAATGGGCTCAAGTGTTTTCTACATATTATTTTGCTACTTCCCGACATTGGCTTATCATCAGAATCACTTGGAAGCTTAAAAAAAAAAAAAAATTAAAAGCTTTCCAAGCTCTTGCCCCGGAGATTGCATTTCAGTGGATCTAGCCGGGAGCTAGCGAGCCTGTTTAGTTTTCTAAGGCCCCCACTGGTCTTGTTGATTAATTGGTATTCTGTCAGAACAGCGGCAGAGGAGGAACTGCTTGTGTCAACCAACTCAGATTTAAAATTTAAAAAGGAGGAGGGGCGCCTGGGTGGCTCAGGCCTTTGAGCATCCCACTCCTGATTTCGGCTCAGGTCATGATCTTGTGGTTCATGAGTTTTAGCCCCACATCAGGCTCTGTGCTGACAGTGCAGAATCAGCTTGTGATGCTCTCTCCCTTTCTCTCTCTGCCCCTATAAACAAATAAATTTAAAAAGGAAGAATCTGAGGCCTAGAGGAAGTAAGTAAGTTGCCCAAGGTCATACGAGTGCTAAGTGGCTGAGCTGTAGCTCACAATGGTCTGACTCAGAGCTGCGCTTAACACCAAACTATACTGCTTCTCTCATTTTTCTTTAGTGGGGGCCCTCTTGCTCTTCCCTCTCATTTTCTCAAGGTATCATTTTCAATGGACCATCCCCCAGACCTCCATGGTTTTGCCTCTGTTGCAAATCAGGGGTTGAGTATGTGTTACTCACACAGCCCTTGGCAAGAAGCCCCTTCTTATAGCCATAGATGTCCCATAGAGGCCTGGCTAGCCTCCTGAACCCCTCACTGGGAGTCTGACTGGCAGCCAGTGACATCAGGGATCTTGACTCTGATTGGCTATTTTTAGCAATGGTGAGGTCTGGTCAGCCACCCCCTTACCTGGGCCAGGCTTTGCTGTGGAGGAACCCCTGCTTCTCTGACCTGGTCCCAACTTCGAATGCTTTCAGGGGGCACAGAAAGACCTGCAGGTGACCATTGGGAGACTAGTTATGTACCATGTTAGGCAGGGGAGTGGAGCCTGTTAAGAAATGCATGTCTTAGGGGCACCTGGGTGGCTCAGTCGGCTAAGCATCCAACTTCGGCTCAGGTCATGATCTCACAAGCCCCATGTTGGGCTCTGTGCTTTCAGCTAGCTCAGAGCCTAGAGCCTGTTTCAGATTCTGTATCTCCCTCTCTCTCTGACCCTCCCCTGTTCATGCTGCCTCTCTCTCTCTCTCTCTCTCTCTCTCAGAAATAAATAAAACATTAAAAAAAAAAAAAAAGAAATGCATGTTTTGCGCCTGAGTAGAGTCTAGACAGAAGATGGTTGGTTAGGAGGCAAAACCAGTTGAAAGTCTGGAAGCCAGGAAACAGATTCTTTCTGACAAGAACCTTACTATCCTCTCAATCCTCTCTGATCCTCATTCAAGGCAGACAAAGCCTCCTCTGACCTCTGGCCTTTGACCCACAGGCTGAGGCAGATGTGGCCTCCCTGAACCGCCGCATTCAGCTGGTAGAGGAGGAGTTGGACCGGGCGCAGGAGCGCCTGGCTACAGCCCTACAAAAGCTCGAGGAGGCTGAGAAGGCAGCTGATGAGAGTGAGAGGTGGGCAGGGGGCCTCCCCAGGGGTGGGCTGGGGAGGGTCTGGAAGCCTGTCTCTGCCGGTCCTGACCCCACTTCCACCCCTCTCCCTGCCGTTCAGAGGAATGAAGGTCATTGAAAACCGAGCCATGAAGGATGAGGAAAAGATGGAGCTACAGGAGATGCAGCTGAAGGAGGCCAAGCACATCGCTGAGGATTCAGACCGCAAATACGAGGAGGTGACAGCCCTGTCCCACTTCCTTCTCCCTCCCAAACCCCAGATACTCTCCGCCACTCACCGGGACTCTGCTCCTTCTCTCCCTCATCCCCCAGGTGGCCAGGAAGCTGGTGATCCTGGAAGGAGAGCTGGAGCGCTCAGAAGAAAGAGCTGAGGTGGCTGAGAGGTAAGGGTGCCCTGGGTGGCAAGTGAAACTCACCCAGGTCCCATGGCTGTGGGGCACTCTGGACAGTGGGAGGCAGTTTCCCAGGCTTGGGGCCATAGGGACAGGTCCTGTCCTCTGACCCCTGACTGCTGCCCCCAGCCGAGCCAGGCAGCTGGAGGAGGAACTCCGAACCATGGACCAGGCCCTCAAGTCCCTGATGGCCTCAGAGGAGGAGGTAGTGACCTCTCTGGACCTTTCTGGGCAATGGTGCCTTCTCTCAGCTCACCTTTCCCCTGATCTCAGGCTGTTCTCTCACCTGCTGGGGGTCGGGAAAGGCCTGGGGCTTCCAAATTCTGCTTGCTGTCACTCTCACAACTTTGCTCTTCTCTTCTCTCCTCCACCCCTTCCCCACTGTGCCATCTCCACTGTCTCCCACACTATGCCCTCACACCCTCGCCCCACCACACACCCCCTGCAGTAAATGTGGGGACCTAGAGGAGGAGCTGAAAATTGTTACCAACAACTTGAAATCTCTGGAAGCCCAAGCGGACAAGGTAGAGGGGGGTAGAGGGGCAGTGAGGAAGGGGTCCTACAGGGGAGGGAGGTGACGGGCCCAGGCAGGGAGGGGCTGGGTGTTCCTGGAGACAAGATCAGGAGCAGCCTGTGGGCTCGGTGGAGTGAAGGATTTGTGGAGGCGATCTACTAACAGCGTGTATATGTCCCTAAAAGTATTCCACCAAAGAAGATAAATATGAAGAGGAGATCAAACTGCTGGAGGAGAAGCTAAAAGAGGTGAGAGTCTTGGGGCGCCTGTTGGCTCAGTCAGTTGAGCGTCTGACTCTTGATTTTGGCTCCGGTCATGATCTCACAGTTCTCTTGGGCTCCGTGCTGCCAATGCAGAGCCTGCTTGGGATTTTCACTCTCCCTCTCTCTCTGCCCCTCTCCTGCTCACTCGAGTACACACATGCTCTCTCTCCCTCTCAAAATAAATAAGTTAACTGAAAAATAATAATAAAATAGAAGAGGTAAGATTCCGTCCACTCCCCACTGTCCCCTCAAGCCCCCCCATCCCCTCTCCAGAGACTGCCTATGGCAGGGACTTTAGGAAAAGGAATGGAAGAGGAGGTTGACTTAAGTGAAAGTATCTGGGAAGGCCTGATTTTTGTCATTCCTCCATCTTATCTCAACTCCCAGGCTGAGACCCGAGCAGAGTTTGCCGAGAGATCCGTGGCAAAGTTGGAGAAGACCATTGATGACCTGGAAGGTAAAAGGGATACTCCCCGGTACCCCAAAAGCTTTTTAAGGAGGTCCACACTCCTCGTGACTATCGGTCTGTCCCTTATTTCCCCATCCCATAATACTTGCCACGGATAAATTAGTGTTGGGCTACCTGGGATCCCACCAGCTCCCAGGGTGTGACCCGCCAGCCATCTGAGGAGTCGTACCTGGTTGCTGTGTGTCCGCTCCAGTGCTCCTCAAACGTGTGTGCGTGAGAACACCTCGGGGAATTTTTAAAACACAGATTCCTGGGTCCTACTCCAAAGCGAATGCTGACTTTGGGCTGGAGAATTTGTATGTCTAACAAGCTCCCTGATAATACCAATGCTGCTGGTCCTCAGACCGCACTTTGAATAGCACTGACCTAGACAATTCGGTCTCCAAGAGCAACACAATAGAGCTATGTCACAGAGACTTCTTTATTAAATACAGAGAGATTTGGTTTAATGTCTAGGTTTTCACAACATCAGTGGAAAATACTATTTGAAGCTAGATTTGGTGAACACCAACATCTGGGTATTTGCTACTCTGTGGCTGTTTCTCATTAGTATCAAGAATGCTGTATTTTCTTTTTATTCTGTAATAACTGTTTCACCTTCATAATTCCCACTTCTCATGCTTCTAGCCTTTCAGGCAAGCCTGAATTTTATCTCCAACTTTAGGACCTTAGACCTTTCTGGCTCCAGCACCCTCCCCCTGAATTGAGCACCCCTGCTTATTCAAAGCACTGTACCCCCATGTCCTTGGGGGAGTTAGGAGCTCCAAGGGGAAGAACCAATTTGGGCTACAGAGAAAAACGAGACGGGTACAGAGAGGGGAGGAGGGAGCCCTGCTGGCTGTCCTGCTTGATCTCCAGCCTATTTCTCTCACTCCATCTTTGTCTACCTCTTCTGATTCTTGTTCTCTCTTTCCATTACCCTCTCTCCTTCCTTTCCTCTTTCCCTCCATTCCCTTGCCCCATACTCCCACCTGGTCCCCCTCCCCTGGATCCCTTCCACCAGACGAAGTCTATGCACAGAAGATGAAGTACAAGGCCATCAGCGAGGAGCTGGACAACGCACTCAACGACATCACCTCTCTCTAAGCCCCACGCCAGTGTGGCCCCCTCAGCCCCTTCTCTCCTCTCCTTTCCACTCTCTCTGTGGGGAGGGGGCAGGCAGGAGGAACAAAATTGTCAGCATCGTACAGCCATTCTGGGCGCAGCCTCAGAGAGTCCCCACCACCCCTGCCGCCCACCCTGGCACTTGCTTCATCCTTCTATCCAACCACTCACCCCATCCTCCAGCCTCTATCTCTTTCTGCTGCTTAATAAACTCAACTTGGTCTCCATGTTGTCTTCCCGCCCTCCAGAGAGCACTTCTGTCACCCCTACAGAAACCCTAGCTCTCACAGGCACCCCTAGTCTTGTGCCCCCCACTGAGCTCACCCACAAAATACTGTGGCCCTCGCCAGAACCCCCTCCACATGGCACTCTCAGTCTGTCACTCTGTCACCTGCTGCATGTGGGCATGCATAACCCCACCAGTCACCATGAGCCCTCTAATGCCTCCGACAGACTCTGCAGACCCAGGTCTGTCACTAACCTCCAGCCATTCAGCTACAGTTCCAGGATTTAAGGGAATGACTGGAAGGGAAATGGGTGGGGAGGTACCGAGGAAGGGCAAGAACGTTGTGAAAGGGCTGGCTGCCGTAAAGTTTGGGAAAATGTTGGGTGCCAGCAACATGGGGCTTTCCCTGCAGGTCTGTTTTCTGCCTCAAGTCTATCTGTCTGTCTGGCCCTTCCTTTTCTGGCTCAGTCTTTGTCTTTCCTTCTGTTTCTAACACTCTTAAACGTTCTAAAGAATGAGGGTAAATTAGTTCATGACTCAGGCCTCCCATCCCACCCCTATGACCCCAAAGCCTTGAATCCACGTCTGTCTTGGTCAGTGCATCCATCTGCCCCTGGCACCGGGTCCTCAGACCCCTAAGTGCTTATGTCTTCCTATGCCTCCAACCCCCTCCAAGTCTGTTTGTCTCATCCCATCCCCCCTTGTGTGTCTGCCCTTCCTCACGTGCTGCTTCCCCTCACAGAGACCTTGGCCAGTGCCAAGGAGGAGAACGTGGAGATTCACCAGACTCTCGACCAGACCCTGCTGGAACTCAACAACCTGTGAGGGCTGGCTCTGCCCCCAGCCGGGCGATAGTTGCCGCCCCAGCTCAATAAAATGGATGTTACTGGCGTTACAGGGCCCTTTAAGCCTTCTTTGGAGTGGGCAATGGTGGTCATTTTCCAAAGTGGAAAAGACTAAGACGATGGCTGAGGGGAGCAATGGAGTTGGAAGGCCCCCTGACTGAACAGGGCCTGAGTCCAGGCTCCACACTAGGACTTCCTTTCCGAAGGGAGCCAAGGGGTGAGGGCAGCAATCTCATTGAGGAGGGTCGTGACCAGGCTGTGTGAAGCAGAGAGGCCCCGCAGGGCTGGGGTAACACCCTGGTCCTACTACCCGCAGGGCAAAGGAGCTGCTGTCCCGGCACTGCCCCATTCCAACAGGCGGCTGGGCCAGACAACACAATCTGAAGGCAAAACTGCAAAGCTACACAGATTTATTTGAGCGGGGTTAAAGACCAAAAGCCTCACTATGATTTTAAGCCTAGAGGCTAACCCTGCCCTGCCCCCCAGACACAGGCACTGCTGGGCACACACGGCCATTCTATTGCAGTCACTTCCACCCCCTTCTGATAACATCTATGGTAGGCAGATAATGCCCCCCACCAAAGATGTCCCCACCCTAATCCTGTAAAATATGACCTTACACAGGAAAAGAAACTCTGTGACTAAGCTAAGGATTCTGAGAGAGTATCATAGGTCATATGGGTATAGACCCAATGTAATCACAAAGGTTCTTATAAGAAGGACAAAGGCAGTTACAAGAGATGTGATGATGGAAGCATGAGGCTGGAGTGATAATGAGGAAGGGGCCACAAGCCAAGGAATGTTTGGTATCTAGAACCCGAAAAAGGAAACCCTCCCCTCAGAGGGTCCAGAAGGAACCTGCCCTTACTGACACCTTGACTTCAGCCCATAAGATTCATTTTGGACTTCTGACCTCCAGAACTCTGAGAAGATAAATTTGCATTACCATAAAGTTTGTGGTAATTTGTTAAAGGCAGTATTAGGAAATGAGTACACCATCACCATCCTTATTTGGAGAACAAAACTGCCTTCCATATATTTTATTAGAAACATTTATTTAAAAAAATATTTGGACCTTAAAAAGGAAGCGGTGTAAAGGGTAGGACAGGACAACGTCTCCAGCTCCTCCTCAGATTCTTCTGGCTGGCTTCTCTGCACATTCTCCAGGTTCCAAGGACTCTAGGCAACAGTCTCAGTGACCTCTGCTGGGTGGTAGCTAACATTCCCTTTGGTCCCACTTCGGAGTCTACACAACACAAAAGCCTAGTCAGAAAACCCTCCCACCGCCCCATGAACTCATTTGCACACAGAGAACATGGAACTTCTGGACCCCAGCCAGGGAGGTGGGGCAGTGCCTGAGGAAGAGGGGTGCCAGGAAGCGGGTAGGTATACCTCTGCTGCCTTCTCATATGCACAAGGAAGGCGATGCTGGTGACAGCAAAGAGGAGGCCAAAAACCAAGGCCAGGATGTCACCTGGAGAGAGAGGAGAGGCTGCCTCAGAGTGAAAAGGAGTCTAGGATTCAGCCTGCTTCAGTGTATCCCCCTCTCCTGCACCCCCAGGTTCTCCAGCTGCCCTCAGTGACCCAGAATCCAGAAGAGGCCTGCAAAGGGATGGGGGTGGATACATAAGAATGAGTAGGATAAGCACCTTTTTTACCTAAAAGCAAATAAAAGAGGTTGTTTGGGAAGGAGGATGCTAGATTTCTGGGGCTTCTTTCTAAACAACTTTTGCCCTGGGGACAACAGAGGAACCCCTGCCCTTGATCTGACCCTCTATCTTATTGGGGTTGGAGGTCTGTTCTGCAGAAAAGGAGAAGGGGTACAGGTGGTCCTAGTCCCTGAGGCTGAACAGTGCCAAGGGGCAGGAGCCTGAGAAGGGGCACAGACTCACCAGCTGCAAGGCAGGAATTCAGGTGGACTGAAGAGAAAAAGGAGACATTAGAACCAGGGGCTATGACTACCAGTGACAGATATGGGCAGAAATGACATGGAAGGATGTGGGAACTGTGGTCAGGGGGGACATGGCAATATGGGTCACCACCAAGCTGCACCTGGTTCAACCGTCCTGGGGCTGCTCTCCACTCCAGCGGGGAAGGAGGCCTCGATCATTCGCCCGTTCAAAGGCTGTGTCGCTCGGAAGTTCATTTGTAGCCGAGAGTCATCAGGTCCCCACAGGGAGTCAGAGAGGGTGTGGAGCTAGGGAGGTCAGTAGACAGTGGGGGTGGGCTCATGACAAGAAAATGAGAGATTCGCAGGCCTATTCACAACCAGCACTTCAGGGCTTTACCCCCTTTCTCCCCTCTTCCCCCATAAGGTCCCTTCATCTCTATGCATCTTGACCTCATCCTTACACCTCTTTCCCCACATCCCCTACGTCACCTCCATACCCCAGCCCCACCTGCTTAGCACTCAGCCTCACTGTCTGGTTGAACACAGTCCAGATGACGCCCTGGGCACAGGGGGGTGTCGTTAGAGACCCCTCATAGCGGAAGTAGCGGCTGAGGTCAGAGGGCAGCAGTGCAGATACATCCAGTCCTGGGACCCAAGTCTCTGAGTCTGCGGAGAGGACCTGTGCTGGAGTCCCACCTAGATTGCTCCCCTCCAAAGCTTTTGGGTGTAGGGATATAGTTTCATCTCCCAGAAGCCAAACAGATGCAACTTCCTGAGAGCACTTCACCAAGTGTGTCCCTTCCCGTAACTCAGCACAAGACATACTCAGAAAAAGGTCAAGGGCTGTGGGGCCTCCCAGAGTGAAAGAAGTGCTCCTGAAGTGCTCCCTCTGAATCTTCACTCTTACTTTGCATACTATGATAACATGCTGAACACCAGGTTTAAGCCCAAAATGAACCAAAAGGGAAAATGAGCTGAAGAACTTACACATTCGAAACTATAAAAAACGGACACAAAAACTCAAAAAGCACAGTTTAGTAAAATCTAAGGTCCAGTAGAGAGTAGTGAGGTTTAAAATGACCCAGAGTGGCTGAGAAGGGAAAGATTTCTAACAAAAGTACAAATTTAAAATATCTGATGCTTATGAAGGAGAACTAGACAGTTCCCAGAAAAATGTTAGCTCCCTAGACTCAACCTCTGAAATTCCAAACGCTATATATGTTTAAACACATACATTTATAAATATTAATAAACATATATATTATTTATAAATATATTTGGGGGGTTGGCTCTCATTTTGTTTTTTGTTTGATTTTGGGTTGCTGGGGGTTTTTTTTGTTTTGTTTTGTTTTACCATATAGCCTGTGGGCAGCAGTATGCTTTTGCCTGTTAACCTCTGCTCAGCTTCATAGTTATTGTCAACATCACAGTCCTTCAACTCATATGTCGGTTCCTGCCTGTGGGCGGGAGCCCATCTTCATCCTCTCACTTGAGGCTCCCCAAAGGCAACTCTTTTATGAACAAGGGTATTGAGGGAAGTGGCCAGACTAATAAACTGACCTTCCTCAGCGATTTCTTCTAAATGTGACAGCAACTGTTCATAGGCGCTGTTTTCTTCTGGGCCCTCCTGGGAAATAACAGTACAAGGCAAGCTCTTACAGGTGTCTAGGGCCACGGCTGGAGGCCTGAAGGGGAGGTAGGCTTCCCTTAGCCCTCCCCCACTTCTCAGCTCTGAGAATGCTGGGGAAACACAAAATGTTATATGGTACTGCTCAGTCGTTTTACTTTTACTTTGCAAACTATCTAATATGCTTGGTGGGCTGGTTTTTAATAGCAAATTAGAGGAGGAGGAAGGAGACCACTTTACTAGGAGAGAAGGCTCTCAAGTGACCTGGATCCTACTACCTTTTTGTCTCACTGATCCCACCTCTACCTTTACACTCCATGGTCTCCCCACAGAAAGCTGTAATAACCTGTGTATTCACGTCACCTCTACATTCACCTCAATAATTCATGTGTTTGACTTCTGGAGCGAGAACATGCTATTTCAGAGGTGCTTCTCTGAGCTTTGTGCTGTGAGGGTGGCATTAAGGAGTCAGTTAGGCAGTGACTGAGGCTAGAAGGTATTTCACCATCCCACTATTTTACTAGCCTCTTCTAATCACTGTGTATGTAGCCTTGATCACTACAGATCCAAATAGGTCACTAAATGTTTCTCTAGGCTTTATTGCATTTCACAAAGTGGAAATTAAAGGAGTAAGCAAA